CTTTTCAAAAACCTTTTTGATTTGTTCATCAGAAATAAATTTGCCAAATCAATAAAAAAATTTAAAAAAGAAATATAATACTAATAGTGCAAAAATATTATTGAAGAGTGACTAAAACTCCGTATAACTGATGATAAACCAATCATAAAATAAATTTATGTCTATAAGAAACTAATCTTGTATATCCTCGTTGAAAGAATGAAGATATCCAAGGATATCTAAGACTAATTTTTCATAGGCGTTAATTTGTTTCTAGGAATGGATGTAGAATTTTATGTTAGAAGATGACAAAATTATAAAATTTTAAGTAGACGAGAACTTATAAAATTTTAGGATGACGAAAACATATTTCCAATAGAAAATAAAAAAAAATCTAAATATATAAAAATTTAAAATTTTTAGTGGGCAACCGCCCCTCTATGTCCATTCGTACTTGTTTCATGGTTGGCTTGTGAACAATCATCTAAAATTTCAGTCATTTTCCAATGATATATTTCTTAACTCTTGCATTGTCAGTACCATATTTCGCGTTGACATCATTTGGATGAAAATAATAACTTTTTTTTTATAGGCGTGTGATAAGAATACATTGTCTAAAAGAAGAATAAAAAAATCTTAACATTTCTTTTGGTTTAACCTCAATTACACGTTTACAATTAAAATATTAAATAATATTTTAAATTATTAATTTCCTTTAATCAGTTAAAATTAAAAAGATATTGTAATCACCATTTTTTCAGATTATTATTATTATTATTATTATTATATTATTATTATAAATTAATTACAGAACCTAGGCCCAACATTCAAACCCAAAACCAAATCAACCTAACAACTCGGGCCCAAAACCAAACAAACCCAAACCCTAATCAAACCTAACCTTAACCTTAAAAAAATCTTCAGCTGTCGCCGTTGTCAGAGTGGAGATTCCAGCTTCCGCCGCCGCCGCCTTTCATCCAAGAAGCCTGCCACCTTCACTGTTCCACATTATCACCTCAGCAACATAACAAAAGGAAAAGTCAGAACAAATCCAACATAAACCCCAAAAATTCAGAGCATTTAAGGAGCAAAATCATCACAACAGTGACCCAGCAAATAGATTAGGTTTCTGTTGTAATTTTTTATTTGGCTCTGTAAGGATTTCGAGTATATAAACCCAAAAAAACATGTAAAAGAAAATTTTTCCACTATTTCGAGAAAAATAAAAAAACCATAAAAGTTTCAAGGAATTTTTTAGTTTTCGAATACAAAATAATAATAATACCTATTTACATTAAAGAGAACAGAGAGAAGATATCGAGTGGTTACCGACGAGTGGAGTTTAACTGGGGTCGTTTCGTCTTCTTAGTCGCCGAAGCCGAGGGGTTTTCCCTAGATCTACGTACGGTGATAGGAGGGGTTCTAGATCGATCCAAGTCCGAATTTGTACTCAGGGTGTGAAGAGGCTTCGAAAGGTGGTTGCATCTTATCTTTTCATCGACGGCGAGCGGCGGTTGCCGGCGATCAGTGGCGGCTCTCACGGTGGAACTCTCCACCGACTTCTAGAGAGGTGAAGAGAGAAGGGAGAGAATTCGCGTGAAGATAGAGAGTGAAGATAAAAAAAAGAGAAAACAGAGAGGAAATGGGTATATATAACCTAGACCAAACGACGTAGTTTGGGCTCCTGTATGCGCGTATTGACCATAAGTGTCTAATCTCTTCCACAATCCTCGACTTTTTCTTCGTTTATAATTTGATCACTAATTTTAGGATTAATTTCTTATTTATTTAGAATGTTTTTCCTTATTTTAATATTTTTTCATTTTATGTTCTTATATTAACTTTTGGTTTATTTCTTTTTAGGTCCCTTTACATTTCCCGTATTTTACAAAATAGTCACATGTTCGTCCTGTTTTATTATTCTGTTTAAATGCATGTACTTAGGTTGTAAATTTAGATTTATATGATTAATTAATTATGTTGGTTGAAATTTATGGGTTATTCATGTTAAGATCCCCCTAATTTGGGAGTGAATTTGTAGTTTGGTCACTAATTTCCTCCTTTTTTATTATTTTGAATTGGGCATATTAATTTCATTTTCTTTTGTTTTAGTCACTTATTTACATTTTTTTATTTCAATATTAGGCATGTCTTTTTGTTTGATTTCTATTTAGTTACTAGTATGCTTTTATGTTTGTTTTAAATTAGCTATTTTTTATTTTTATTTTTATTTTATTTTGGTCCTGATTGTTGAAATACAAATGTTAAACATTTAATATGACCTTGTGGTAACCCGCCCTAGGGAATGATTCTCGATATTAATGGTTTGAGTAGCAATTAAAATTTAATCTCTAACTTATAATTTTATTCGTTTAATTTATTTTCTGTTATTTATATTTTTGTTCTTTAAATTTCAGTTATTTTAATTTGTGCATTTACTTTTCAGTATTTATGTTACATTCCTTTAAATTTCAGCTTTTAATTTTCTGTATTGATTTTATTTAATCCTAATATTCTGATTTCTTACATTGTGATCCTTTTGCTTTAGGCTTTGATTTCAACTTTGTATTTTTAATTTATTGCAATTTAGTCCATTTACTTGGTAACTATTTTTAATTGTTATCTTTAGTTTTAATTTCTCTAATTTAGTCCTATAATTTTAGATTTTAATTATTAAACCCTTTTGATTTAGATTTTTAATATTTTAATCTCAACCTAGATTATTTTTATTTTAAGTTTAGTCCTTAAATTAAGAGAATTCTTAATTTGGTCATCGCTTTTTCTCGAGATTCCAATTTAATTCCTCGAATTAAATAGGTTATTAATTAGAGCTTTAATATTAACATAATTAAATAGGTTAAATAGAGCCTCCACTTTTAGTTAGATTTCAAACTAGTCTTTTAATTTAGGGAATAATTCGAGGTGGCCCTCGTTCAAATGCTCGAGGAACCATCTCGGTTATTCGATTCAATAATTGATTAAAATCAAATAGGATTAATATTAGAGCCTATATTTTAGGTTTGAGCTTCTAGGTTCCTTTAATTTCATAATTTCACACCTTAACCTAGAAAAAAACCTTAATCTATCCTTAATTTAATTAGGATTAATAAAAATTTATTTGATTGCATTTTATTTTAAAATCTAAAGCAATGTTCACTTATTAGGGAATTAACGGTATATCTCCCGCAAGTATGCTCAAGGGGCGACTACTAGTGATTCTCGAAATAGGTCGACATCCTTTTCAAATACCGCATCATGATTTTTAAAATCGAGGTAATAAACGGTCATTAGGCACAATAGTTGATCTCCCGCCTTTATGCTAGGGGGCGAATGCTATCGGTCTTAATAAACGGATACCCTTTTCAACTTTGCATCCGTAATGATTTTCAAATTAAATAAAGATTAAACTCAAAATTTCCGATTTTAAATATAAGGTAATTAACTAGGTACCAATTTTTTCGCGCTTGTGGGGTGTTAATCTTTCCCCACGCGTAACTGATTCCCGAATTTGATTTCTGGATTTTCGCATACCTTAAAACTAGGTATTTTGATAAAAATAAAATGTTTTATTAAAATCACCCAGTTTTCATGGTGTCACAATCTCACCTTATATGATTGTGGTGACTTCTCACATTTCGAAAATTCCTTTTAAAGAGAAAATCCCCTAGTCGGTATAGGTCTTTCTCCACCCGGGCAAAAAATGGTGTCGATAGATATATATTAGAAATAAATTTAGTAATATTATAAAAAAGTTAAACGTAATATTATAAAAAAAAGTTGAACGAAGAGTCTCTAAAAAGATAAATGTATAATACATATTTTCACACAAATCATCAGAAATATACACACACACTGAACAAACGACACATACTATATATGTGGACTAAGTTATGATCTTAACCACACCATTCAATATTAGAAATTAAGTAAAACACTATATTAAATTTTATCAAAACAAATACTTAACCAATGTGAAATATATTACATTTGTATTACTCACAGTCGTCGTACATTTACAGTTGTTAACTTTGTCAATTACCGATGTGATTATCCTTATTTGCTCGGTTTAACAGAACTCAGCTAGGTTGTCTGTTCCCGGAGGAGCTAGTGTTGCATGCAGCACTGGTTACCGATGCCGCCTGCCGCCTGGAACAGTACTAATATCCACAAAGAAATCAAGCAAGCAGGCACCTCCTCCAGGCATGCAGCTCTATTTGGCCTTTTGCTAAAAATAAACACCCCGTTATTTTTCATGCATATTACTATTTCCAAAAAACTCAAAATTTATATATCAAAATTTATATATAGATATTGTTTTTTCACTGGGATGGTGGCTTTGAAAAATTTCAGTGATAATTAAAAGAAGTTTTTTGTGGAAGTGGGAAGGGGATGACTCAAGCTAGGAATTGAAATCATTGGGTTTGTGTTTTTTACACCCGAAAGAAATCAGTGGTCTTGGGTTGGGAGTTGGGACCAAGCTGAATCGACAAGGTTTGGAATTGGACCCTCTAATCCCTAAAGCTGAACAGGCTGAGTAAGCAAAGCAATTAACCCTGGAAACTAGTTGAACAGTAATAAAGCAACAGTAAGACCAACTACTGTCGGCCCACGTGGCTAACAAGAAATAGATGGATGGTTGGTTGTGCTGTTCTATATGTAATGGGATAAAGAGGAAGTAAGATAGTGCCCAACACCAGGTTGAAAATAACTTTCGTAGAAGACCTTCAAATTATGAAATGTCTTCCATGAGACTCGATCCCACAACCTCAAGTTAAAAACCTTGTGTTCCACCGACTGAACTGGATGATCATTTCTACAAGAAATAGATAGATGAATCTGAAAATTCACAACTATAAATACGTGGCAGTTGATGAACTTCAATACACAGATACGTGTTGTCTTCCCTTATTGACACACCCACTTGCATTGCATGTTTCATCTCCGGCAAAAATCGTCCTCTTCTTCTCAATTATAGTTTCCTCTTTATCCTTTGTTTTCCTCAAGGTATTTGGAAGTGATAATTATTGAAAGAAAATGTGTGGGATTTTAGCAGTTTTGGGTTGTTCTGATGATTCTCTGACTAGAAGGGCTCGAGTGCTGGAGCTTTCCCGCAGGCAAATAGTCCTTTTTCTTACCCACTTTTCTTTGTTCTGTTCTTTTAGCCTATTTCGACGTTTGTGACTTTGAAAAGCTTGAATAATCATTTGCCAAATAGGTTTAAATTGTGACCAGTTTTTGTTCTTTGCTTGCAAAGACCGGAAAAAATAAAACAGGGTTACTACTTTAAATAGATCCTCTCCTAACACCTTTGAAAAAAAGAAAATACACGGGACTGAATGATTTGGATAAACTAGTAGTGGTAAGATATTAAATAATATGAAGAGAAATAATGAGCTGAAATAGCTATAATTGGATGGTTTATGTTTGAACAGACTGAAGCACCGTGGTCCTGACTGGAGTGGGCTCTACCAACACGGTGACTGCTATTCAGCCCATCAACGCCTTGCCATCGTTGATCCTGATTCCGGTGACCAACCTCTCTTTAACGAAGACAAGAGTGTTGCAGTCACTGTAAGCCTCTCTTTTGTCTTAGTACTCGTCCATTTTTGCATTATCACTCTTAACTTTTTCAAACATTAAAGGGTTAATTATGTGTTGTAAATGGCCCATTATATGTTTAAAACTAGGTGAACGGAGAGATTTACAACCATGAAGAACTGAGGAAGAAGTTGGTAAACCACACGTTCAGGACTGGCAGTGATTGTGATGTTATTGCCCATCTGGTACCAAAAAATTTAGGGCTACAGCTGATTTTGGGTCTAAATTTTTAGTTTGTTTTGTGAATTCCTGCTCTAATCAATGTAAAATCGTTGCTTAAAATTTTTCTACATTATAGTATGAGGATTATGGGGAAGACTTTGTGGACATGTTGGATGGAATCTTCTCATTTGTGCTGCTATATGCCTGTGACAACAGCTTCATTGTTGCTCGTGATGCTATTGGCGTCACTTCCCTCTACATTGGCTGGGGACTTGATGGTATCATATCTTGCTTTCTCGATTTTAATTAACTATATATATTGCCTTTATTTGTAGTTGTCTGTCATTTTGCTGTTTTGACTCTCCAATACATATATTTATCGTGAATGACTACCCACGATGTTTGAGATTCATTCTGCCAAGTAATTTCCCCTAATGTGTGTATACAGGTGCGGTTTGGATATCGTCAGAATTGAAAGCATTCAATGATGATTGTGAACATTTTGAGATCTTTCCTCCTGGTCACTTGCACAAGAGCAAATCAAGAGGATTTAGGAGGTGGTACAACCCACCTTGGTTTTCCGAGTCCATTCCATCGGTTAAATATGATCCGCTTTTCCTCAGGCATGCATTTGAGAATGCAAGTTTGATGAATTGCAGCCTAGCAAACATTCAGCACTTGTTATTTTAAACGAAGTAATAGTTTATTTTTCTTTCCTTTTCTGTAATATTTATCTTGAGGGCTATTTCTAATATATTTGTATGCTGTGATCAAAAGGTTGATGAGTGATTTCCCTTTTGGAGTTTTATTATCCGGAGGCCTTGATTCATCATTGATTGCTTCTGTTACCACTCGGTACTTAGCAGGTACCAGCGCTGAAAAAAACTGGGGAGATCAGCTCCATTCTTTCTGTATTGGCCTAGAGGTAAGTCCGATAGTATAAGATGAAACCTTGAAGGATAGCTTTAAACAATTCAATCGTCTTAGAATTTGTTTATTGTATTTTATGCAGGGTTCGCCTGATTTGAAGGCTGCAAGGGAGGTTGCAGACTATTTGGGCACTGTCCATCACGAGTTTCACTTCACTGTTCAAGTACCGACTGAAGTTTTAGTAATACTTTTGATTCAAGCCCTGGGATATAAATTTTGCTAATTTTTGCCCTAATGCGGTAGGATGGAATTGATGTGATCGAAGATGTTATCTACCACATAGAAACCTATGATGTGACCACAATCAGGGCAAGCACCCCTATGTTTCTGTTGTCACGGAAGATCAAGTCACTAGGAGTGAAGGTGCTTATTTCTGTTGAAGGATCCGACGAGATATTTGGTGGATATTTGTACTTCCACAAGGCACCTAATAAGGATGAATTCCACCGTGAGCCTTGCCGCAAGGTAATTGATCATCTTACGTGGCAGTTGCCGCTTCATATACCACCACCAGAATAGGAATACAAGGCTATAACGTAATTGAGTCTTTGATTGATACATGTGTGCAGATCAAGGCTCTTCATCAGTATGATTGCCTGAGGGCTAACAAAGCAACATCAGCATGGGAATTGGAAGCTCGAGTACCCTTCTTAGACAAAGAATTTCTCAATGTTGCCATGTCTATCGACCCTGAATCAAAGATGGTATGTAAACATGTATTTTTCTTGTAAAAACAAGAAGTGTATTGTTCCTGGAATTACTTGGCTTATTCATCCATGGTCTAGATTTACAGACTGATTAAGAATGGTTCCCTCTATTATGAACCAGATAAAAAAGGAGGAAGGACGTATCGAGAAATGGGTTCTTAGAAAGGCCTTTGACGATGAAGAGCGACCTTATCTGCCAAAGGTATTATAAATATCGTTTTGTTTTCTTTGGTATTGGTTAATTTTAGAGTTTGACTAATCTAACAAGTCATATTTGATGTTCTGAAGCACATCCTCTATAGGCAGAAAGAACAATTCAGCGATGGTGTTGGTTATAGTTGGATTGATGGTCTCAAAGCACATGCTGCCGAACATGTAAAAACCTTCCTAATTAGCACCATTTTGCTTATAATTTGATAATTTATTTGGTTATAGTTAGAATTTGATCAATTTCGACCATGTACTTTCAGGTGACTGATAAGATGATGCTTAATGCTTCTTTCATATTTCCTTACAACACACCAACAACAAAAGAAGCATACTACTACAGGACGATTTTTGAGAGGTTCTTCCCTCAGGTGATTTCTGAAGTGATCATACATTTACGCCATTTAAATTTGCCAATAACATCGATTACTGAAGTGGTCGTCCTTATTTGTTCGGTTCAACAGAACTCGGCTAGATTGACTGTCCCTGGAGGAGCTAGTGTGGCATGCAGCACTGCTAAAGCTGTTGAGTGGGATGTTGCCTGGAAGAACAACCTTGATCCTTCAGGGAGGGCTGCCCTGGGAGTCCATCTATCACCTCACAACGTATAGACTCCTCATAGCAACATACCTTCCAAGGTTATCGATAGTATACCACGAATGATGGATGTTCCAGGGGTAGGATATTAACAATATTACGACCCAGATGAATTGGTTGTATTGGTGGATTGGTCTCCATACGTGGAGAGTGGAAGCGGCCTTGAGAAATCCTAATCCTGGTAATGAGAGAATAACTGAAAAACGAAGGTAAAATTCAGGATTCCCATTTACATAGTTTTATATTTTTAGAATGTAATGGTATCTTAATAAATTCCTTTATGGATATATAGGCTATGTTTGCAATCAGTAAAATATTTTATGATGGTTAGGATCATATTTTCTCGTCATCTTATGATGGAACGTGTGCAATCAAATATTTTTCTATTGAAGTGATCATGGATGAAAGAATGTTCACCTACTAGTGACCAGACTGTAATTCCCAATTAGCTCGGACATGAACCTTGAATTATCCGACAAGGAACATGAAACATGTCTCTGCTAGTTTAATGTAGCATTAACAAGTCTAGATGATATTAATAATGGACTAGAATCTAGTCTGGCTAAGGAAATATACACGCATGTTAAGTTTCTTGTGGAAAGGGGGATGGTTCAAGCTTGGAACCAAAATCAGTGGTCTTGGGTTGGGACTAAGTTGAGTAACAAGACCTTTAACTTCCAGAAATGCCAACCTAATAAAATTTAGAAGAAAAAAAAAACCAACTCTCTATTTATTTATAAAACCACAAATGATTATAACCTGCAAATATGCAAGGAACTCAAGCAAAATATATATGTGAATATTATGTAGTCGCAAATAGTATTTAAGAATAGGGTTTACATTTAAGTTGTCCAAGCCGCTAATTAACTGTTGATTATTTCATGAAGAAATTTCTCAAAAATGTAAGACCTTTGTCAGGAAGTAATGGATGGTTTTTCCAAAGGCTTTTGTTTAAAATCATTGTGACATAAAGGGAGCCAAAAAAATCAGGCGCAATTCCCGTGGGTTTTATCAAATAAGAATCAAGTTTTGGTCGTCTCCAAACTTCATCAAATTTCAAAAAGAAAAAATAATTTGAGTAAGGATATTTGATCGATTAATTAAATTGTTTATCTTTATTACCTCATATTTTTTTAAATTATTGGTTATAAAACTATTAAGATTAAATTTAGAAACATACTTCCTTAATTTATGGGTTATAAATATACTAGGATTAGATTTACAAATTGTAAAAAAGAAACAAAATTAATTTAATTAAGTAAAAAATTAATATGGAAAAAAATGATTTTTTAGGTTTTCATGACTCGTCAATTAACCAACAAGCAAGGAATTACTAGAAGAAATCAAGTACAACAAAATAAGAGCTAGCGTACATAATTGATAACAGGTTCTTATTATATTAAAGCGGTGCATTAAGCTTGAATCTGTCGAGACCAACTTTATAACCTAGAGTCTTGGTGTCGTTTTGCACTTGTTCCTGGAAATCGGTGTAAGTAAAAGGTTTGTATTTGGAGCTGCGGATGACGCTGCATTTTGCTGGGAACACAAAGTAGCATATTGAGACCCGTTCCTCTTGCTTGTTCACCCTCACTCTGTGCTTCACACTCATGTATTGGTCATCGCTTATAGCCTATATATATATATATGCCACGAAAACATTCATTAATAAACAAGAAAAGGGTCAAATGAACTTCATAGATTTATATAAACAGGACTGAGTATTGATTTTATAGACGATAACCTGCATCATGTCGCCAATATGGACTAGAAGGGTGCCTGAAATTGGGCTAACCAGGAGCCATTTATTGTCCTTGAGAATTTCGAGTCCCCCAACTTGGTCTTGGTTCACAATGGAAAGCACTGAGCTATCGGTGTGTTCCATCATGCCGCAAGCCTCATCAGTCACGGACCTTGGTGGGTATCGGTAAAGACGTACGAATCCAGTGGATTCATCTAAGCTAGACTCGGATTGTTTAGGACACAGATTCAGACTCTTCACCATTGCTTCAAACAAGGCTGTTGCAATTCTCGAAAGGTGTCTTCCATATTCTTCTAGAGAATGCCTAGAGCAATACATTATCATGAGAGAAGTTGACCATGAAGGGAGAGACATTTCCAATTATCCAGAAAAAGCAGTAAGCAAAACATTAGAATGAGAATAACAATTAATTGAAGTCCCCACCTCTTCACTAATCTCCCCCTTTAGGATATTCTGCCACATTGGTTACTTTTGTATATATTTTGAATAATGCAAATTGGGTAGTTGATATATATATATATATATATATATATATATATATATATATATATATATATATATATATATGTTTCGACATTGATGAAATGAACTAAAATTGGGACAGAACTCGTACCGTGATTAGCATTCTACCACTAATTTCAGAAAACAAACAAACAGTGCTCGTGATAAGTTAGCCATAGAAATATGGGTGTCACACTTTGGGGTTCTTGGTAAATATTTGTTACAAAGAGGAAAGGATAAGAACTTTATAATTGAATTCATTTGATTTATGTTCTATAATTCTCCCAATTCCTAGTTTCAGAAATGGGGTATGGAAAATTAAAGGAAAGAAAAGGAGGTGATTGATGGGTCTATAATTGGTTTTGGATACTGCAAGGCAGGGGTCCAAAAGTTACTGACGCTGACCTTGCAGTCTTCTTTTCTCGCAAAAAAATCTGGGACAGTCCAATCAGCTGGTCATTTCATTGGGGGGTATGATTGCCCACCCAGAAGAGATACAAATCTGAAGAAACGCCCCCCGAAACAGTAAACAAGAAGCAAAAATACCTGAAATCTTCAAGCCTAGGATCCTCAGACTGAAACTGCGGGAGTTGACTGAGCGGAACATTTATGCCTTCCAGCCAATTGATATTCAAGGCACCCCTCAGGGCAGCTCCGGATGGGGTTAAGACAGGAGTGCCCCAAAAGTAGAAGAAAGGGTTAGTCAGTAGGGCTTGCTTGGACTCGAAGGGTAGAGCAAACAACATCTTCACGTACTCCTCCAGTTTGCTCAAAAGGCTGGGAGGAATCCCATGGTTAACCAAACGAAAAAGACCCCATTCTTTACAAGCTTGGCCTAGCTTTTCTAGGCTAAGGCACTGGAGATCCACCACGGGAATAGAAACTGATAATGAAGATGAATCTTCCATGGAGTGGTTGTTGAGTTGAGGTAGCAGGGGAGCAGGAGAACCGTTGAGATGGTGAAAGTCTGGAGGGTAGGATTCAAGGTTGCTCATTTTAAGCGTATCTTTGTTTATTTCATGTGTAATTTAACAGCGGCCAATGGTGAGGAGGAGAGGGTGTGAGATGCATCTGTTTTGTCTTCTTGGAAACATTAATTTATTCGAGGTACGTGCGTAGGGGCCGTTTCGATTTTTCATGAAACGTGTCCTTCCTGTCTAATAAAAAATCATTTATGAAATTGTGGACCCTAATTTATTTTGAATAAAAAATATTTTTTATTCAAAATTTATTCGATAGTTTCCCAATTCCTAATTATTTTGAATTTTTCTTTTTTAAGAAAAAAGCCTCTCCATCAAACATGGTAATGGCCGAGTCGTTTCTCCTTCTCCATCTTGGTCCGAGAGTAGGAGATTCAAATTTTCGAACTAATTAGGTTAATCGATCGAATTGAATTAATTTGGTTAATTCGGTCGGTCATCGAATTAGTTCGGTCGGTTAACGGTTAAGAAAATTTTTAAAATTCGGTTAACAGTTAATTCAGTTCGAAATCGGTTAATTAACCGAAATATTTTTTATTATTTTTTCACCCCATATGCTGCTCCTCACTTCCTGCTACTCGGTTACCAATTATTTTATGCCTTGATTTGTGTAAGGTATAGACACAAGCATGGGCAGGTGGAGCACGCGTTTAACATCATAGAACTTGCAGCCATTTCTTGAATGTATAATTCATTAATCTAAACTTTCTGATCTTCTCACATGCATAGTAGATATATTTGCCTATAATTTCCCTAATGCATCCAAAAGATCAAATAGTGAATGATAGTAGTTCTTAGCATTTCTCAGAAGTAAGAAAGATAAAAGATACAATGCTACAAACATTTCCAACTAACAACATAGTGAACCTTCCTCACCAACCTTGCCACTGCATTAGCCCAATCTCGATCGCCACCCAGGTTTATGCCATCTCCGATCACAACTTTCTTGCCTTCATCATCCACTTCATGTTCAAGAGGCTTGTGCATTAAGTCATGCACAAAGGAGCTAACTATCTTCCTGATTGTAGCATCAGAAAAATCAAGTATTTCACCTAGCAATACTGCAATAGTAGCTGTCGAGTTGCAGTTAGCACAACCTTCATGCACCATTTATTTTGTAGAATTTCAAATTTGTTGGTTTGTTTGAACTAAATTTATAGATACAAGTATATTATTTTAATATAATGTTTGAATCAAATTAATTAGATATTGTAAACTGTTTTTTTAATTAAAAAAAATATTAAATTCAAAAATTCTAAAAAAATTCGGTTAATTCGAAAATTAACTGAATTAACCGAAATTTATTCGGTTCGATTAATATTTTCGAAAAAAAGTTCGGTTCGGTTAAAGGTTAAAGAAAAAAAAAGTTTGATTGATTCAGTTAATGGTAGTTCGGTCGATTCGGCCACTGAATTAACCGAATGAACAACCCTACTCGAGAGATGGGAAAATGGGTTAACGGAAAAGGTTGTCCTTATTAAGTTTGACTAACGAAATGTAGATTAATATACGGTTAAGAAACGGCGTAACTGTAAATTTAATAAGATAATTAACAAATTCGGTAAAGCGCTACTGAAAAATGTTGACAAACTCATAATGTTGTAGGTGAAAAACATAAAAAATTATTAAAAAATTTGGTAATATGTAAACTTTAGTTATCGGTGTGTATCGATACATATATAATTATTCATACTTAGTTTACTGTGAAAAACATTAATTTAGGAATACATTTAGAGTGATTTTTAATATACTAATTTAGTAATTATAAACGTCTAATTGCTTATTTTTATGTTACGGTATATATTATTATTAAATTAAAAATAATAAACATAGATATTACATATTTATTGTTACATTTAGCTAAAATTGTTAAATTTAAATTCTAAATAATATTTTATAAAAAAATATAAATAATAAAATAATTTTTTGTATAACTGAAATTATTAAATTAATATTGTAGGTGGAAAACATGAAAACTATTAAAAAAATTTAAAACAAAAATTGCATAGCTTCTGTATACATACTTACTCTAGAAGTATGAATATTGTTTCAACAGTAAGTTATGTCCAACTATTGTCCTGAAAATATATTTCTACCTATATTGTATGTATTAATACTTATATTTAAAACTTAATCGGTTAAAATAAAATAGGCGCTACCTATTATATTAAACTACCTACTGATTTGTTTGAAGGTTACTAATAATGTAAACGTTAAAACATAATAGGTGCTAATTACGTTAAAATATCTATCGGTTTGTTTAAAGGTTACTAATAATGTAAACGGTAAAATAAAATAGGCACTACCTATTACGTTAAACTACCTACCGGTTTGTTTAAAGGTTACTAATAATGTAAACAGTAAAATAAAATAGGCGCTACCTATTGTTGAAAACATTTCGATGTTTCGATAAAACAAATTAAATTAAAAGAATTTTAATTTTGAAAATGATTTTTCTAAGTATATTCGATATATTAAATCGAATATCAAAATAGTACTCAAAGTATTTCAAAGTTCATTTTAAATCCTTACTCAAGTGTAAAATTAAGTTTTAATCTTAAAATAATTTCAAAACGATTTTACAAAATATTTTGAACCATTTCAAAGCCAAAAATTCCAGATTGCTCAGAGGGAACCAATTCCCCCCTGAATGGTTTGGCTCCGAGAATTTCAGTATGCTCGGAGGGAACCGATTCCCTCAGGGGTACCGATTCCCCCCACTGTTCAACGGTTGAAATATTTGAATTTTACACTTAGGGAACCGATTCCCCATGAGGGGTACCGATTCCCCCCACGCTCCAAGCAGAAATATTAATTATTTTCACACTTAAACGGCTCCAATAACTTCATTAATGATCCCCAACGTTCAGAAGTAATTCAAGGTGTATTTAAGCAAGCTTAGAAGCCATTGATCAATAACAAGAAACATCAAACAACTAGAATCAAGAGAGAATCAAAGAGAAAACATCAAACCTCAAGTTTGAGCATTTCAAGCCAATTTTTCATTCAATATTCATTTTGCTTTCAAGAACACTTATTGTGCTCGATTGTATTATTCTTGAGTGTTCTTTTCTTTATTCTATAATTGTGCAAACAATCTACCTTGTGATGATTTCCTTGTAAGTTTACAAATTTGTATTGTTCTCTTTGGGAGAGAGTGTTCTCAAGAATTTGGGGTATAAATCTTGAGGGTTTGTAAGGTTACTCTTTGTCCTCAAAAGAAAGACATATTAGTGAATTTGTGGAAAATCCTTAGTGTGGATAACTAAGGTAGTGGACGTAGACTTTGGTTGAGAAAGTCGAACCACTCTAAATCGCTGTGCAATTACTTTCAATTTTCTGCAAAAGCTTCCACCAAAATTTTAATTGCCAATTCACCCCCTCTTGGCCATATTCGTCGATCGATTAACTCAACAATTGGCATCAGAGCCTAACTCATTTGAAGGTTTAATCGCCTCTTGAGTTTGATTCGGGAAGAGTTATATCGATAATCAAAGTCATCAATGGCCTCCGCTTCAAACTTCGACTCCGGTCTCGATTCGATGCCCGTCAACAAGCCTCATTTCTTTAATGGGGCTAACTATGCCTATTGGAAAAATAGGATGATGTACTTCATTCAAGCAAGTGACATGGGAGCATGGAATGTCGTAGAAGAAGGATACATCAAGCCTCTCACTCATCCAAGATTGTGGAGTGAATGAGAGACAAAAATATTCCAGCTCAACTCCAAAGCCATCCATATCATATTTTTTGGCTCTTGGACCAGATGAATACGGAAGAGTTTCATCTTGTACAACCGCCAAAGAAATATGGGACAAACTTCAAGTCACTCATGAAGGTACCGATGAGGTAAAGAAATTTAAAATTAGTATTCTAACGCATAACTATGAAAATTTCAGAATGAAACCAAATGAAGATATCAAAGCTATGAGGGATAGATTCTCAATGATTGTAATGGTCTCAAATCATATGGAGAGATCATTTCAAATGAAAAGCTTGTGAGGAAGTTAGTTTACTCTCTTCCAAAATTATGACAATCAAAGAAGACGTCAATCATCGAGTCTAAGGACCTAACGTCCTTAACTCTTGAAGAACTAATCGGTTACCTCCTCACTCATAGAATGATGCTTGAAGATGAGGTGGATCTCGATAAGATTGATGAGACACCAAAGGAGAATGAGAAGAAGAAAAACATTGGAGTTGCTCTCAAATCCACAAAAGATGAGAGTGATTCTAATGAAGATGACGATGATGAGGAAATAACATTGTTTGTCAAATGGTTCAGAAAAATGATGAGACCTTACCAAGGAAGAAAATTCAAACGAAGTGAAGGCCTCAAAAATAAACCAAAAGAAAAGGACTCGATCATTTGCTATGAATGCAAAAAACTGGGGTATGTCAAATATGATTGCCCACAATTGAAGAGAAAGGGTCAATCAAATAATAAGCACAAGGCTCATGTGGCTACATGGAGCGATGAAGAAGGTTCCGATGAAGAGGAACAAGAAGTAGCAAACTTGTGCTTGATGACATTTGGGGAAGATTCTATGGTAATCTCTAACTCATCTGATTTTGATTATTTATCCTATGATGAGTTATTAAAGGAATATAATGGGTTGGCTTCAGATTATGAGAAATTGTTTTTAAAATATAAAAATGATGTTTCAAAATTGAAAAATGAAAATGAACTCATATCCAAAACCAACAACGATCTTGAAAGTAAAATCAAAGATTTGCAAATCAAACTAGAAGAGTTTGAAAAGAAAATTTTGGATTTGCAAAATTTACTTTCAAAGGTCAATGATGATCATAAAAAGAAAATTGAAGATCTTAAAGCTTCTTTTGATAAAGTTGGAACAAAACGTTTTGAAAATGGAGAAAATTCAAAATCCAATTTTGTTAGAAAAAGTTTTAAAAACTACAATCATAGAGGTCCCCGAAAAACCTTTAATGGAAAAATCATTAGAAGTATATGGGTTCCCAAAGAACTCATTACTACTAAAAATAAGGATATCCTACATCAATGGATACTTAAGGGGACAAGGATTTTGGAAACTAATGAATATGTACCCAAAAG